CTCGCACAGCATTGTGATGCGAAAGTTCAATTTATAACACGCTGTATCAGCACCTCAATGCAGCCACAAAATAAAGAACAGTCGACCTCCGCTTTTTGAGGACCTGGTATTCGCGTCTTGCATACTCGCGATACAATAAATGAGGACATCCTCCGTCATTAACGGATTTTGACCACGTATATTTGTGATTTCACGTAACTATCTTCAGATTGTGAACAAACTTGAGTTTTTTTTCGCATTTTTATGTTGAACTTTTTATCATGGATCAAGCAAATAAATTTAATAATAAAATGAAAACAATTTCGAAGGGAATATTTACAAGAAAAAGAAAATTACGGACATATCAATAAAACTAAAATTTTTAGAACTTTTAAATAGCATTGTATTCAAACATCAATGCAAAGTAGCGATGCCAACTCATGCAGCGTGAAATGCAGAAAGATTACATGCGAAGAGCTAAGCGATTTCATTTATCCGATTTTTTTGTGAAAAAGTGAAATTTATTGTTTTTTACAACACGTAAGAACAATAAATTTGGTATAAAATGATATGACATGGTACGATACTCTTTTTTGTCCATATAAACTAACGTAAAATGGGACCCGGTATTCGCGGATTTGCTATTCGCGGTACTTTTTTAGAACTAATTAATCGCGAATAGCGCGGGTCGACTGTAACATAATTCGATGGGAAATAACCTTAGCTTTCCGATGATGAGGTCTAGTCCAGTCAAATTAGTTTTGAAAACGAAAAAATTCGCAACCGCAGTTTGACACCGCGAAAAGTTAGTGTAAAATGCAACTATGCAACTGATGGGAATTTATTGGTCCCTTTGAAGTTGCCCAAAATTCATTTTTTGGCTGTAGTTTTTTAACCACAAACTTTACGAAAAAAAGGTTCAAATAAAAAATGTAGGTCTTTTTAAGACCTACAATTTGGCGCATTATAAGTTGAAATCGGGTTATTTGTTTATCCGCTAGGTCGAAAAAACCGTCAAATATGACCGTTTTTTCAATTGCGTATAACTTTGCAATAAATCAAGCTAGGGTAACGAAACTTTAGGAATAAGAAGCCCTTGTCACGACGAACAAAAAGCACTTTTCATTTTTGCGCTAAGTGCATTATTGATCGAGTTATTCCATTTGTTTATTCAAAATATTTTTCCGCCCTTAAGCTGTGCCTGCAACTATAGGCATGATGCGGACACGAGCGACGGCTCAAATGAAAGGTAAAGACTTGTACTTTTGTAAACAAATTCAACCATAACATTTTATTGCTATTTTATTTCATAAAAATGAACAAATAAAGAGCCGTGCGAAAAAAAGAAAAATGTTTAAAGAGTCAACTTTTCCGGAAGTTCTACGGTATTAAATAGTTTATAAACACTGCTAATGTTAATAATTTTTTAAGACCTCTAAAATAAAAAAAAGCAAGTCTCTAAGTTCATTAGAAGCGGAGAAATTTAAAATTTTACAGCGGAGCGATTTTGAACTGCGAGATCTCATTTTCGTAACACAAGAGGCCAGCTCGCGCGAGGTACCCCCACTCCTACGTTATTGGCCGCGGCTAGCGACGCATAAGCGCACTCGTTGTTTAACTTAATGATATTGCAACAATAAACACATTTGATAGTTGCTATTGATTCTATATGAAATTTCAACTTTACATTGAATATGTGACAAAATTTCGGCTCTTAATATAAATAATTAAGGCCACAGTGATTTTTTGAAAAAAAAAAAAAAAAATTAACTCGCTTCCTATTGCACTTAGAAGGGTGCTTTTTTTTTAAATCTGCGGAATGATGTCAGCTTTCCATTTTCTAAATTTTAATTTTTGTTCGACATTTATTTAATCGTCCAGCCTCATTTGCTTATAAACTTTTTGGAGGGGGTATTTTGCGTTCATTTTTATGCAATAAAATAGCAATAAAATGTTATGGTTGAATTTGTTTACAAAAGTACAAGTCTTGACCTTTCATTTGAGCCGTCGCTCGTGTCCGTATCATGCCTATAGTTGCAGGCACAGCTTAAGGGCGGAAAAATATTTTTAATAAACAAATGGAATAACTCGATCAATAATGCACTTAGCGCAAAAATGAAAAGTGCGTTTTGTTCCTCGTGACCAGGGCTTCTTGTTCCTAAAGTTTCGTTACCCTAGCTTTATTTATTACAAAGTTATAAACAATTGAAAAAACGGTCATATTTGACGGGTTCTACCACCAAGCGGATAAACAAATGAACCGATTTCAACTTATAATACGCCAAATGTAGGTCCTAAAAAGACCTACATTTTTCATTTGAACCTTTTTTTCGTAAAGTTTGTGGTTAAAAAACTACAGCCGAAAAACGAGTTTTGGGCAACTTCAAGGGGCCCAATTGTTTAAATCCCCATCAGTTGCATAGTTGCATTTTACACTACTTCATTTCTAACATCTAACACTAACTTTTCCCGGTGTCAAACTGCGGTTGCGAATTTTCTCATTTTTAACATAGGGTCAGATTTAATTTGACTGGACTAGTCAGATTATTGAAAATTGTCTTTTTTCCTCTAAAAAATCGCCGGAAACCTGAAAAGTTAAATATAACATAACATAACATAACGGTATATTCATAAGATTTTTTTAAATAATGTCAATCGAAAGCTGAGGAAATTTCCAATCGACATGCAAGTTTTTAAAGTGTGAAAATGATTATTACTCATCGAAATACAGCGACAAACTCGTGAAAACGTAAGATTCTGGGTTGTGCGGGACACTGCTCTGTGAAGTAACTGTCGCGCATTGCTTTAAAGTGGAATTTTTACCATGTTTCGGGTTTTCAAAAAACTTTACAAATACATTTTCCAGCGTAAAATTTAATGCCCTTTCTAAATCCAGGCTCAAATTTGAAATCCAAAGCATAGTTCAAAAGTTATGACCGTTAAAACATAAAAAGACGTATAAAATTACCATGTTTTGCACAGATTTGTTCGTTTTTTTATGTTTAAACGATCAGAACTTTTGAAGTGCGCATTGGATCTCAAATCTGAGTCCGAAATTGGAAAAGGCATTCAATTCTATATCAAATAAAGTAATTGCAAAGTTTTTCTAAAGCTCGAAATATGCCCACTGTCAATTCATACATCCTGAAAGTTAATGGGTTAAATGTAAATATCGATTTTAATTTTTAGGCACGGTTTTAACCTAAGCCTATAACTGTACAAATCATGTTTTCATATCCCAAAAAGTGATCAAAACTTTTGGAGCAAGGATTTTTAACGTTTCGGAAATAACGGACACCCTAATATGTATATTAAATTTTACGTTATAACAATTTGGAATCTGTGCTTAATGAGGAATCGAACTCAATGTTTACATAAATTCTTTTACTTCATTTTGGTAGCATTTTTTTATTTTAGTATTTTTTTATTTTTATTGTTGCTCTGATTCTCATATAATTCAAAGTATTGCTTTTTACAATAGATATAAAATGAAAAAACTTGAGCATTTGTGTAAAGCAGCTGGATTACAATTCACTCGTTGCCCAATGTAACCTACGAAATTCCGAATAAGTATACACCAATATCCTCATCAAAGAGTAAAATGAAAAATTAATGTTACGAAGTAGAATTTATCTTGAAATACAACAAAAAACTTACCTCCATGCTATTATAATCAAATTCATCACACACCTCATTTAAAAATTCAAGCACATCCGTAGTTCATTGTATTCACTCATTCATTTTATATCAATCCTATTAGTGTGGCATTACATCAAAACTCTCTTTGAAGATACTCTGTGGTCATTAAAAAATTATTTTTCTAAACCTTATCCTTGGATGACAGTACTATTTTAAAGTTTACTCAATTTAGACGAAAGCAACCATTAACAGCATTTGACAAATTAATTTCAATTTAATATTGAACACAGCTTTTATGAACTCATTTCATAGCTATTAATTTTTTTTTTTATTATTTTCCAGTAATAATTGTATCATAACTCTTACAAAACAACTTAATCTCGTTATATATTATAATCAGTTAGATATCCTTCATGGGGTGAAATTTTATCAAACGAAGACTAAACTAATGAGATATATTTTTGAGAAATTTCACAACCTTTCTCAGATTATGCAACTTTTCTAGAAAAGTTGATTCTCTAGATACATTCACTTTTTCTCAAAGAGAGTAATTAAATTATTTAATATTTAACATATAATCTGTTCTGAAATTGATAGTAATCTATTGCAAGAGGTATGTCATTTTTTCATAACACAGTACAGGTTATTAAGAAAAAAAATCAATATCACGCGCTCTCAATCCGTATGTATTAACAATTTATTTCAATGAAGTCTTAGGGATACATTTTCACATATATGTGTGGAAATCCGAGAAACTTTTAACTTTTCCACTAAAAAAAAACATATTACATCTTTTATCAATTTTTCTTTTCATAGTTTTTCTGGTAAAACGTTCAGTACCTCTTGGTCTATAGTTGTTTTGAAAAACTTACCCTTTTTTCAGAAAAAAGTTTGAATACTTTATAAAGATTTTATACAAATAAAATGTTTATAGCTTATAAATTTTTAGCAAAAAATTGTGAGGACATATGGCGATGAATCAATGCAAAAGCATACTTGATTTTAATTTTAGGGTAAATCATACGTAATTGTCTACCTTAAAAGTAATTTTTAACATAATAATTAATATGTATCCCAATTGCAAGTAAGGCGCTGTTAATTTACCCACATAAAGTGTCATTAAATAGCGAGTTTGATGTGGCCACATTACCACATTAATATCGAATTACATACATTTGAATAAAGCAATTATCTAATATGGCTGTATACGTAAATTCCTTTCTAGCTGGTGATACTTTTTCCATTTCCCTGCCCCATACTATTTAATGAAGCGCTAAGGGGCGTGCTCAGTCGTCGCTCGAGCCAGCCATTGGCTTAGCCATCTTATCTTTCCCACCTATTACAGCCGAATCGGACCTTAAAAGTTTCTGAGCCGGCGACCGTAGCATCAGTTGCTCATCAGTAACACAGTGCTACGAGTGGTATTAGATTTCTTGCCAGTTGCTTGAAATTGATCGTGTTTCGAACTGTTTTTCAATGATCACTGTTGTGTAAGAATAAAATAATATACCATGAGTGAGTGCCAAACTAAACAGTGCAAAGGAAAAGGAAAAGCCAAAGCTAAAGATGAATTGAAAAAAGAGCCCCCTCATGTGCATCTAAAACCGATAATTCACCACAGTGATTTTACATCGACGAATTATTATCGACCCGACGGTAAGTCACTAATTTTAATTCTTTTAAATCGTAATTATTGATTTCTTTATTAAATTGAATAGTTAAAAGATCTATGAACTAAACTAACTTGACTATTGATTTAAAAATTTTCATTGTTAAATCAAAGATGCATTGATTCGCACTTGAATTGTTAATTTTTTAAATAGTTTCATATGTCATTTCAGCACTTTTTTAAGCAAATATAATATAATAATTAGTCAAAAACTTTTGAAATTTTTTTTGAGTAAGGTATTATTTAAGCATGCTGTTATTCAGTAACACATGTCGAGAATTTTTCGAATAAATTTTCGTTTTAGTCGTCCATATGATTTACCGATAATTTTGAAATTATAAAACTAATACCCAGAGATACATCGTACAACAAAAGTTTTGGACTTTACCGGCCACTTCCACCGAAATGCAATAATCACCTCGTTTACGATCTCGACAATCACTGTCAAAACACAAAACAGAAGCAAAAAACTTGTTTCGCTCAAAAAATTAGTGCAAACTACTTTTTGCGGTTTCCGGAAGTTGTCGTGTCAACTCTTACACTGATTCTAGGAGTCTTGTTTGTTTTCCATTAAAAAAATTTTTCAAATATGATTTGCCGCTTTTTTTAATGACATAGCGAATCCGCTGTGTTTACTCTACTCAAAAAACCGCAAAATTTACCCCTTTGCTTTGTTTGTACTCATCGATTTCCAAATATTTCTTTCAAAGTTAATGTTGATTGAAAATTTTTTTTGTTTAAATTTATTTATCATTATTTTAATGATTTCTAAACCACACTTTCTGCAAGAATTTCATAAATGTTCGTGGTGAAATTCCACCATTAAGTAATAGTATGATTAACTATAAAATAATTTTAAATAAAAAAAATTTTACATTAATTAAGTAATGTTTCAACCAGAATGAGCCCTTTAATATTTGCCTTGGTTCTTCATTTTTTCATCCACTTTAATATTCGTTTATAGCTCTCGCCGTGACTCGCTCCTAGCCAACACTAAGCGCCCGCAAGTACATGCATACTTTAAATGTACCTCTCAAGACACGAAAAATCGCAGGTACGTTTCATCGCGACATCAAAAAGAAGTACCGCGTCTTATCTATCGCTCGAGAAAAAAAGAAAAGAAAAAGGCATTGGGGATGCGACAGACTTTTGTCGGTGCCAAAAAAAAAAAAAAAAACGACTAGCCTGGGCTGTCGACACCTCTTTATTTTTTTTAATCCCCTTCTAAATACGAAAACGAGGAAATACACGTGCCGGGCAAAATGAAAAAGGAAAAATCGATGAGGCGCAAAATAATGCCGACTGGCGTCAAGTCTTGTAGCTCATCGACGTATTGAGCGATTTTTCGCCGCGACATAATGCGCGTATTATTCAACAACTTAGTCTGTCGGGTTTCCGCCTCTAAAATCTCCCTTGAATACCTGCTGACCGACTATAACTGCGAAATATTTAACGCTACGTGACTGTGATCAAAGACTATATAAAAATTATTATATATACTCAATATAAAAATTATTTGTTAATATAGGCGCAGTGGAGGTTTTGCAGCAATTCGGCAAATTTCAACCGGGTCTGAAAATTAAAGTGATGAACAAAAAAGATTGGAGATCTTTTCTGCGATTCGGCACAGAGATGATCCTTACGAAAAGCGGCCGGTAAGTTCTAATTAAAAATCATACTTCTCTAAATATCGCATAAAATATTTTTGTAAATAATAAGCAATCGTATGAATTTATGCACAATCATACCACTACATGAGAATATTTCAATATCGCACTCTCTTTCGCTTTGAGAAAGGTCCTCTGGCCTATTCATCATATCATGCACGTGTGAGAAGATGCGCAATGAAAAACAAACTTGGTCGCGTTACTGGCGCCGATGATACGCGTATAAGCCCATATAAACCATACACAAGCAGACTTTTGACGATCTCCCGAGGCCTAGTTCATCGTGCTCGTTTATAATTTTACTCGTAACAACATATCACGGTCCCGCAATATGGTATTCCCTTAAATCATCTCTCGCTCTGTTTTACAAGCTCATGCATATTTTCAGCTTTCGATCGCGATCGGCGTTTAAAAAAAAATAAGAGTATCAGCGTGTGTACGTGTACGGTGCTCGGCTCACGCAGCGGGGGTCCATGCGGTATATTACCTGGCGCTTGTGTTTATTATTACCAATCGTTCGTGTCTCGATTGGTCTGTTTTTCATTGCATCATTTGAACACATGAATAGTGACATTTTCGCGATTGATTTTTAGGACAATGATTCGTTAAACAGCACAAGATGTATTATTTTTGCCATTATTTTTTTATCAATAAAATGTCTCGTTGAAGAAAAAGTCCCGAGCGAATCAAGCTATTATTATATTATCATGGGAAAGGTGTGCGACACAAACGGTATGCACGGCTATTACGATGTATGATTTATCGATTGCGGGGCGTCTTTATAGAAAAAGATCGAAGACACGTGACGAAGCGACGCGAAATGTATGTTATAAAAAAATTAGCATTTTATATTTCGGAGCCGCTCGCAAGGGCTCATTAATAACGAGTAGAAGAAGTTAAAAGTGGCGCCTGCTGAAAAATCTCTCGCAAGCGGTCCGAACTGCCGGTCGAGCCATACGGTGGCATCGGAGCCGAAATCTCGTAAAAAGTGTGAGATATCGACGCTCGGGAACGGCCAGAGCTGTGAGGTCGATCGAATGCCGGCAAAAAGATGAAAAGGATTGAAAGTTCACGGCTTGCTTCGCTTGCGATTATTATCGTATATATTTGTCGCTTCGTACACCGTCGATCATTGACACGTGTGTGGATATAATTTTCCATCCTAGTGATTAGTTCGCGCAAATTTTTTTTCTTAAAATTTTGAAAAATAAATCTGGTCAGCGACGGAATAAAAATACAATCAAAACGGAAATGACTAAAACTCGCGAGTTGGCTAATTGATAACGGTGTAAAATATTTCCATGGAAAACGTAAGTACGCGTATCTTTCAAGTAGAGAAGACGCGCGTGCACTCGCGGATATAGAGATCCGGCAAACTGCAGCGCATCGATATCGCAGCTCGCCATACGGTGGTGTTCTAGGTAATCGAGCTATTCTGACTCACATGGCCGGTGCACGGTTGAGATTTTTTTTATTTATCTCGAATAAAAAGTTCGTTAAAGTTATTTGATTCTGTAACGTACTTTCGTATCCTAAAAATAATCTGTACAGCGGAAAATAAGTGTTAAAATCAAACGATTGGTCAACAGCAACATCTCCAAAGTGTCGCGTACTTCCTTTCATTCTAGTCGAAATCTATATCGAACGCACTTTTACTTTTACACCAAGTGTCAGTTCTCCAAAAATACTGCGAGTCCAGACGCTTCGCGGCGCTCGGCCGTCAGGCTCTAATATCCTGCGCGAGTTACATATAAATTAATTGGCACCTTTGCCCAAGTAAAAAGCAGATAATACTCATTTGAATAGCGTGCGTGCATACGATTCTCTATAGGCTCTCGTACGCGTCAATTAATTACACGCGGAAGCGTAATCCTAGAATTTCTAATGAACCTAGGAGAAGGAAGTTCCATTTAAACTGAATCCTTTTCTTTTTTCGTGTACGCATACAAAAGGTCGCTTTAACGAAATTTATGCGAGTTCGAGGGCCTACGACGCATGCGCCCAAGCGGTTACTCGAACAAAAAAAAAAAAAGATGATCGAGATACCTACGCGGAAATGGTTTATTTCGTGCCTGATCCATGGCATGTGACTGGGCGCGAAGAGTTAACGACGACGACGACGACGACGACGACGTCGAAATATAACACACATGCTGTTGTCCGCACGCGCCTACGCACGAGTATCTCTCTTGCGGATTTTTTCCCTTCGTTCCTATAGACATCGAAAAAAAAAAAAAACAGACACTTGCACGTATCTCTACGCGAGATCGCAAAAAAGGAGAGAAAAGAAGGAATGTAAGTCTCGTCGGTGGCAAATTCGTAAGCGAAAGAGTATAGGCATTTATACACACACGTGTGTCTGTGAGGCCAGGCGCCACGCGTTGGGCGCCAGAGCAAGTGTAAAAGACGACGGCGATCTTCGAGTCTGTGTATGTAAGGATACGCGGGCTGCTCTCAAGCCATGCGCGCGATGTGCGATTTTCGGCGCCTTTGTACGCTCGCTCGCTCCCGAGTCCCGAGAGCTGCTCTTCACGCATGAGAATGCCTTTTTTTGGCTCGCGAGAACTCCTTGTATACTACATATAAATGCGCATATGTGTATATTATACGTGTAATGTTATTTGAACCTTCGTGACGCCATAGAATGTAAGCCAGTATTTTTTTTCCAAGTACGTATAGCCCCTGCATGGCGCAACGAGGTAATTAAATATCGATTTTTCATCTCGGGCCTAATGGGCTGCATTTAGTATTGGATTGGACTATCGACGACGATGAATGATTTAAAAATTATCTTAATAGCAAAGTGCATATGACTTGAGATAACTGATTCACTAGAAAAAGAATAGAAAAGTAAAATTAACATATTTCCACGACTTGAGCCTTCGGAGCTGATTGGGTGCAAGGTGTTCAAAATTTAAGTTATTTACAAGTCCCACGCTAAGAACTCGTGTTGTTCTTCGCGCATGCATGCAAAAAAAAAATAACAAAAGTATATTAATTTCGACAATGATTCGACAATTTTTCTTTCCGGCTTAAATCTCGTTTTATTACTGCGTTAAACTGCACCTCATCTTCTTAAATGAGGCTCTCTCTCTCTCTTTCTTCCTCCGATCACGCGAACTCAATCAAAGAAAATAACTTCCGTACGTTATACGTACGCGCTGACATATATTTACCCGCTCGTCTCTACAAATACAACGGATTAAAGCCGCTGAGTTTGTTTTGGTTTTGGGAAAACAAAAGAGAAACATGTATTAAGTACAAAAGTAAATAGTGGTGGCTGTTCGGTACCAAGCAATTATGTATTCACTTAGTCCAATGTGTCGCGAGTCCTTTGTTTGTAACTTCAAAAAAGCGATTTCGCTTGGTCATCGGGAAAAACTGTAGCACACGCACTCACTCACCTTTCGGAAGGCTCAATTAAATAATTCTCTTAAAATCTATTAACGCGTTTCTTAGAGTCAAATACCATCTAGTGCCTACCATACTCATTCGATTGCTCTTTAATGGATATTTTAGGTCTTATCTTGACTTTGAATAAACGAATGAATGAATAACGATTTCTGTCTTTTTTGCAGGACTATGTTTCCACCGATTCGCGTGCAATTGCAGGGACTGTTTCCTGATAGGCTCTACATGATCGTGCTGGAGTTTAAACTCGTGGATTATGTCCGTTACAAGTACCATAAAGAAAAAGAAAGCTGGGTGGCAGGCAAACCGTTTAGTCAGGAAGTGCAGCCGCCGGTAAATAGTCGGATCATTGCCTACCAGCCGATGCCAGGCTCGAAGCTGATGCACCACGAGCTCAATTTTAAACAAATCAAATTCTCCAACGACAGACCCGGTGAACAAATGGTAAGTTCGATCTTTTTTTTTCACAATTACTTTAGAGTCGTAAGCGTTAAAAACCAATAATCCACCGAGCTCGCGAATGATTCGACCAGCTCGAAAACATTCGAGCACTTGCGAAATCATCGATTCGCGAGCAATTGAATTTTTACACTTTCGGTGCCACACACGCGATCGTATAATACTTGTAAAGGCTGTATCCTAAACGATATCCTACCACTCGGCTCGAGCAGACGCTGATTTCATCGGGCCGGCGCCTCTCGTACTTTTTCTCACTTCTACGCGCGCGCGCGCTGTAACTTTTCTTCTCGACTCGTAATTATCTCAATTGATGAAGTCAAGGTGTGCACGAGCCAAGGTGTGTGGTCGAGCCACAATAAAGGAGAAAAATAAATCGATGATCGCGGGCGGTATACCCATTGAAGTAGGCATGATAATAAAGTAATAATTATAACACACATCCACACACTTGACTTGACTTCAAACTCATTAGCATACGATGTCATTCTCTTTAATTCATCTTTTTATATGAAACCAGATGCAGCTTTTATACAGACGCGTGTCTATGATGTTGTGCTTGTGGTACATATACGAATGACTTTTCTCCCAATTCCTTCCTTCTATTAAGACGGGTGACGAGCTGCTCGTTAAAGAAAAATCAGTGCTAGCCAGTTCCTGCCTTCTTTGTAAGCCGACAGTCTACGTAAACACATTACCGAATTATGGTGCTTGCGGTTTACTTTCATTCGTTTCTCTCTTCAGTTTTCAATGGATTCCGGATGTCCGAATAACGATTTTTATATATAACGTGATTTGATGTGCAACACTCCAGATTCTATTTGATCAGCTTGCGATTTTCGGTTTCGTGGCGAGCGCCCGTACGCTCGCATAAAAACGCGTCGAAAATCGTTGTTGCACTCGAAAATCGATATATACGACGCGCGCGTAAGGTGAATTGTAAATCTCAGTTTTTTGCAGCTCTCCTTTTTCTCTTTGCGAAACGATTATGTTTGCTCATTTTTTTTGTTCTTGACTCTCGCTTAGTACCGATACTTGTACGGGCAGTGTCGCCTTCGCCGCTTGCAATATTTACCCATCCTTCTTCTCCTTCGCCTTCCTCGAAAAAGAATCTTTAGGAGAGCCATCATCGGCCTCGGATTTTTGAGAATCGTACATTTATGGCGCCAGCGGGAGTAGGATATGTATACAGGCACGACACTTTGCAAAAGGGACGACGCGCGCTCGGTGTAGCGCAAAGAACGACGTGCGGGCAATTATAATTTTAATAAAATTCCATCGCCACGGACGTCGCGCCGCCACCACCGCCGCCTCTTTTCTCGCTAAAAGTTGGCAAAAAATATCGCGTCCCGTGCGCACTCGTACAGTCGTTTCTTCTACTTCTTGTTTGTATTCGCACATGTGTCGCATTACGTTTAGTGGTTTCGAGGCGAAAAATTTGCAAAAAATCTAATTTTCATGTCAACTATTGATATAAAAAGCTACAATGTTGAAAATCGTTGTTATTTTCGCAGGTATCTCTGAGATCGATGCACAAGTATTGCCCGCGTCTGTGGATCATAGAGTGCGACGGTCACATCAATCTGCGGCACAGCATCCAGACCCTTTTGCACCTCTACCCGTCCTTTAGCAGGGACCTCGAGTACTCCGAGTTCATCGCCGTTACGGCCTATCAAAACCAGCAAGTAACCGATCTAAAAATTGAAATGAATCCGTTCGCCGCTGGCTTCACGTCAACGGGCAAGGCCAACACGAGGCGCAAACGCGAAGCGGCCAAGCTGAGGGAGAAACAACAATTGGCCAATACATCGGAACAGACGGACGATGAAAATTCGGCCCAAGAGAGCAGATCATGTAGTAGGAAGGCATCTTCCGACGATGATAACAACTCATCATCCGATGAATGCGATTGTCCAAAGCCTAGGCAAGTGAACGACGACTGGTACTGCCTCATACACGAAAATCAAGCGACTCGACGCACGAGTTCTTCTTTTCATCGGCCTTGGGAGGCTCACAATCGTCCAGGCAGCTCATCTCCATCATCGTTGCCGCCGGCTCCTTACGTATCTGCCGATGTCAGTGAGTCAAGTCCTCGAGTACAACATTCTGTCCCTCGATCAAATCCTCAGATAACCCCATTTAAGTTGGATTCGCTCATCGAGCAAAGCGTGCTTACGCCCTTCTCCGCCATGCCTCCTTACGTGCACCAGGCTCATGCCGGATTCGTCCCGATGTATCCGAATATCGACATGCCTGCGCTGCCTACGAATCCTCCGATGCATGACTTGCCGCTGCAAATGCATTATGGTCCTCTCCTACCCGTGGGTCCGATGTATGGCCATCAATTGCTTTACGGCCCAACTTTTCCTGCGGAACCTGTATCGAAGTATCAAATGACCCTCGATGCTTTTCCACTGACACCGCCACATACGCCCAAGTCTGATTATTTGGAGACTGCTCACCTAAGCCTTGCCGGATCGAGGCCCAATGGATCTCATGCGACTCTGAAAAGACGAAATTCACAACCGTGTGAAGTCTGTGTAGACGAGGAACAGTCAAGCTCCCCCACAAGCACACATTACCCACGGAAGCGCTGGCAATCGGACTCTGTGATCCGATATACCCAAGTTTGAAAAAAAATGTTGTAAATACTTTGTTTTTGTCATTGAAACTCTAATTTGACAGATAATTATAATTTATTAAGTTTATATCTATAAATTGTACATAAAAACATTGTAATAAGAGTTGATGAGACTGAATTAATTTCGAATAAGTTGTGAATTACAAAAATATTCTGTGATTAACTCGATAAGCTTATGTAAAATATCCCATTGATATTTTTAATTTTTAAAAAATTTTTTTCTTTTACTTTTTTATTTGACAATTGTTCATTTGTAAAGGTAAATTGCATAAGTAAAGATATCCTATGCAAATGCAATGAAAATTTGATTTAGATTACGATCGTTAATCATCAAATTATGAATTATAATTGAAATAAATTGAAAAAAGTTAAAATAAATGATCTATGTGTCCACTTATTTTATTTTTACCCCAATTTACTTCATTGATGAAAAAATTTTCGTAATTTATTTATAAAAAAATTAATGTATTTACGAATGTTACAAATATCCAACCAAACATGATTGATTTTTACCAAAAAAAATTTCTTTAATTAATTAGTTTTAAGGTGATGCCGAAGCCCCAATTTTGACCTACTGAGCATTAAAAATGTAAATTGAAATATAGTATATTACTGCCCTAGGCCGTGAAAAACAGAAAAGTCCCAGAGTACGTGTAATTAGTGGCCGAGGCGAAGCCGAAGCTGATAAGCACGTGCTCTGGGGCTTTCTTTTTTCGCGGCATAGGCCTGTATACTATTTTTCATACACAGTGGCTCGAAAATCGCTCTTCCCACTTTGCGCAGCGGCAGGGAAGTAGTCACTTTCGGACGGCTGCTATGAAAACATTTTTACTAGACCGATACATTGATACATTGATGTATATTTTCGTAACTTTTTTTCCAGGCTGATTTTCGAAAAACGGCTCTGTGGAGCCCTCCGTATTGTTGCTGTGAAGAACTGCGACAAATTTCAGCCAATTTCATCGAATAGTTTTCCCAGAAAACAGGATCAAAATTTTTTATCCTACAAACAGTAATCAAAAATTTCGATCCTGTTTTCCGGAAAAACTACCCGATGAAATTGGCTGAAATTTGGTGCATTTGTTCACAGCTACAATACAGAGGGATACTCAGAGCCGTTTTTCGAAAATCGGTCTAGTAAAAAAGTTATTTAAATTTACACTTTTAATGCTCGGTCGGTCAAAATCGGGGCTTCGGCATCACCCTGTTTCGTGTAACAATAAGTACGCTGAAATGTTTTTAAATTTTACGACTAGGACATTGAAGATAAGCATCATCTAAAGTCTAAAATTTCAGGCTTATGCAAATGCAAATAGTTTATACTATTTCTTCATACTTTTGACTTTTCTTGGATTTTTCACAAAATGTATCTTAATTTCATTATTTTGAAATTTACTCGCATCCCGGATAATAGAGCGGGCGTATATCTGGTCGGGAACAAGAAGATGTTGCATCCCCTTTAATATGAAAGGTTGGACAATTTATTGCCGTTATTTTAAGGTATCCTTTATTTTTCAAATTTTGAAAATAAGGTAAGAACTAGTTCGTGCACAAACTTAGAAAAAAGTATTTATTTTCAAAAGAACAGAAGGAAACAGTTTAGAAAAATTATTTTATGGTTTGTAAATAAATAAAATTAAAAAATTCCAAACTAAAAACGGTTAAAAATTGTTAAAATCTACAATTTTCATTTGTATAATACTAAAAATAGTTGCTTGTTTTCCTATTATTATTTCTATACATTGAATCGATGATAGTGTAATATCTATTATTTGATCATAAATTCATAAAATAAATCGTAAAAATCTTATATTAAAACGTATAAAAATCAACATTCATGCTAAACTCATAGTACAAAACTTAAATCTACTCGACATTCATGACATTAAAACAAAATGGAATCATTTTAACGGTAATTTACATGGTATGCATATAATGAGGGGCAATTTACAAACAGCATCTCTCGTCGCCGTGGCCGTCGTTGTATTTGGGGCAGTAGGGCGGATCGTACATGGTGTAGCAGAAGGAGCCCCTGGAGCCGCTGGGCGTGTGTTGGCCCATCTGCAGCACCTCGCCGGAGCGAGGCGCGATGCGCGGGCCCGATGGGCAGCGACGCGTGCACGGCTCGGCCTGCATGTCGCGCGTCCCGTCGACGCTCTGGGCCATGAAGCACACGGCCCACACGTGACTGCACAGCTCGTGATTTTCCCGGTCCTCGCAGAACGGCTGCGACTTGCCTCCGTTCACGCAAAAGTCCACGTGGCCGCCTTTTCCAAGCTCACCTGTATGCGAAGCAAAGATAGAAAAAAGAAAAAAGTTATCGTTAATTTGTGTGAAACGCAAGAAGAGAGAGATAAGAGAGAGAGAAATCACTAATACATGACATTTCTCGCTGCATTGATCAGAGATGTTATCGCGAATAAAAGTACTCATTTGTCCTTCTTTCATCCTTGTAATTCAAAGCAAATAACAAGTTACGAAAAATTAGAGAAAAAAAAATGATAATTGTAGTTTATTATATGAAAATAATGATAGAATCGAAAGTGAAATAATTTTTTTCTTTCTCATAAAAAAGCGTCGCAGCGTGTCATCATCGTATAAGAACGGATTGCCGCTCTACGGTCACTGCAGCGCGAGTGAAATACGTAAGTACACAATTTTATTCCTCGAATTTGCTTCCTCTTGACCGAGTTTTGTCGAGCGCAGTTTAGATTTCTCATTGCTCCTATAACAATGACTCGGTAAAGTCCGCGGCGCACTTGTTTCTCGTTCTCACACCAAATCTCGTATAACTACTCGTCGGAACTAAGGATTAATATTCAGGATGTATACGTTGGATTAGTATTATATACGGATTATTTCGTCGTCTCAATTAAGAATTTCAATCCTATTTTTTTTAGCTCGGTTGCATGAAAAAATTTCTCGTACGGGCAAATCAGGAAAACATTTTTTGTATACACCGTAGGCGCGTATCAGATAATAACAGTAATCGCTCGGTACGTAGCGCAAAGCCACATAATGAAGCCTCGGTGCATCAGCAGCAGCCTAACATTTAACAACGAAATAATTGCACGAGTATAATTGCTCCCTCGGCTCAAGGTCCCTCCCGCGTCTGTATATGCGCAGCGATCGTACCGTAGTATCCAGCGTTGGTGTGTATGACCTCGACGAAGTCGGCGTCGCCGCTGTCGATCCTGTTGACCAGTCCCGGCCTGATGAGCGGCCTGGCCGGGTCCAGGCCCACTATTCGACTCATGCGAAACAGCAAGTAGTTGGCCATCATACCGCAGACGTGGGCGCCGAGCGAGTGGCCGACGCAGCTGGTCCGGCCGATCGGCAGGCCGTGATTACGCAGCGAGGTGAGCGACGCCGCCAGGCAGCGGGCCACCGGGCGCATGTTCGACACGGCGGCCGGGTAGCAGGGGGCGGCGCTCAGAGTTCCCCAGTCCACGACGAAGACGTTGTAGCTGCCGTTGCGCAGATAGGCGTCGCGCAGAACCGACATGGGCAGTGCGTCGAGGCCCCCTGAGCTCGTTAAGGAAACAAAAATATTTCATTATTCTCCGATTCAAATTTCGATATATTTTTTTTCTAGCTGTACCCTTTGTACTTTTTAATTGTTATTTAACGACACTGAATTCTATACAAACGTAAATGGGTGATAAAGAATAATAGAAATTTGAATATACATGGATTTTCCCAACATCACTTTACGATCCTATAACAGGTGCATTCGTCGAATAGAACTTGAATTATATCTTTTCAGTTAGATTACATCTATGAGTATTAAGTTGCAATTAATCAAGTGCGCTGGTAAGTCCGAAAAATTCGGATAAGCTCGACAATTTTCGGGTAGAATCAACTAAAAAATGTTATTATAAAACACATTAGCCGAGATCTTGAAGCTATAGCGATGATATTCGAATGTGTAAATCATCATTAACAAGAGCTCTGAAAGTAACTATGCCAAAAACATTTTGTGGCAACTTTTGGCTATTTATCGCATTTTATCGACATAGACAAAGTCTTCAGTAGTTGGAATAAATTTTCATACTAATACACTTTCAAACTCAAAGTTAAAGCCAAAGCAAAAAAATTATCATAAAAGTTGGTTGAATGTAACTAAAGTCTAACTTATGTTTTGGATCGATTTAAAAAACTTAGGAAAGACCGAAAAATTCGGGTAGTACCGTAAAGTCGAGTAAACCCAAAAAATTCGGCCGACCCGAGTACGACCCAAACCCGACGTGTCAAGTAAAAGTGTCGAGTAACTCACGTATTTTGCATTAAGAATTAGTTCACGCTTATCGAGCTTCGGATACGCGCAATGATAATTGAATTAATTAGTAGGCAGTGCACCTTACAGCACACTAATGACTGTGAAAGTGGTAGTGAGAAAACAGTTTATCTTAATCCTTGAGATACTTATGACATATCTCACAGCTCATTACCAGATTAAAATAATGCATTTTGGATGTAAGTAAAAAAAGATTATAAATTCCCTTGGGAAAAAGATAAATTTTTCAATCGATCTTTGTCTTTAAAAAATGAGTTACGATTGTGAATGTTATCTTCATTATAAATAACTCGTACACTTCATAAATCCTGATAACTATGAATTTCAATGAATTGGGGTAAACTATGGAAACAGTCGATCATGATTTAGATGGTCATTAATGGAATAAAGGACCTGTAAACACAGTTTTTCAATAAGTCGTTAAAAATCCATTAAGATTCATTATTCGGCGTGAAACAAAAGCAAGAAATCTTAGATGGTACAACAATAGGCAATGCTGACCACAGAAACAAACATTACCCACCACATAATATAAGGAGAGAGATACCTGAGATAATTTCTCTCAATTTTAATGGGTAATTAGTGAGCTATTAAAATCCGATCCAACCTGCTTGGTCAAGGTAACCGGACACCTGTCATCGGACATTGTCAGCGTGTCAGCTCAATTTTGATCGATGGATCGTCAAGTAATCTAATGACGATCATTATGCAGTGAACTCACCGGCGTAGCCGTGCACGAGCAAGATGTTCTCCTTGTTGGAGTCGTAATCCTTGCGCAGCCAATCGGAGGTGCGATTGGCCTCGAGCTTGAGGCGTGGATTGTCGGGCGTGTACAGGTAGAGATGGACGTCGGGATCGGGGCACTGGTCGTTGTCGTTGCCGCGCCTCCACGTGCAGTCGTCGCGATTGTACTGGGACGCGGTGCCGCTCTCGATGGCCTCCTGTATCGGGCCGCGCGCCTCGATCGTCCCCGAGCACAGCAGCAGCAGCATCGTCGCCGCGCACAGCGCGAAAAACAGCTGCAATCAGTTGGACATTATACCTGCGCGCTCGTTAGCCAAGAGGGGGGGGGGGGGGNGAGGGGGGGGGGGGGGAGCATATAAGCTGCATCGCGTAGCGCAATTGTTCCATGTTTCAGTGCTTGTGAAAGCGAGGCTATTTAGCAAAACGTCCGCGGTTTTACGCTCCGCTGCTGATCGTTTCGCGGCCCGCTGGAGACTTGACGTGAAATGACTCATATGTCTTTTCTGGTGAATTTAATCAATCGCGAGTCGGGCAGCGGTGCGACGATTTCGATTTCAATCGTGACGATGCATTGCGAGAAACTCGATACACTACCATTTGAGTCCTGGTTTTTTTTTTTTTTTTTGACATGTTCTAATCAAACCTTTTTTTGCTACGTTATTTACAATAAATAAATCGCTGTACGATAAAACAAAACAACATAAACTTGTTGTTATTGCATGATATGACGATATGACTGGTACATGAAATTTCTCGAATCAATTACTCACCGAAATCCGCAGGCGTCCGCATTGAAAACAATTTTTAGCATAAAATACGCTCCACGCACGCAAACGGAAGAACCTGTTTCTCGTCATTTACACTCTTTTTAAATACGCACGCGCCAACGCCGCATGTGCTTAACAGCTTTTTGACGCCTTGGCTTGTTTGCTTAGCCATCAAAAAAAAAAAAAAAAACGG